TAATATGTACGTGCATAATGGTGCAGAACTATTGTCATCAATACTGTTTCCAGAACTTCCCCTGTACTCCAAAGGATCACTCAGCACCTATTAAGTAATAATTTCCCACTCTCTTGTACCCCAAAACTTAGGAAGTCATTATTCCACTCTCCTTCCTTGTGAATATATCTATTTTATGATTCTAATGTAGGCAGAATCATGTATTTGGCCTTTCATTTTTTTGATGCATTTCACCTGGTGTGATGTCTTTAAGGTACATCGATTTTTGAGGCATATGTTACACCTTCTTGCCTGTTATGGCAAAATAATATTCCTATATATATATATATATATATATATATATATATATATGTGTGTGTGTGTGTGTGTGTGTGTGTGTGTGTGTGTGTGTACATAGCTATTCTGATTGTCTGTTCATGTGTATAAGCCACTATATTATGTCTACAGGCTCTGTTAGGAATATTGGTATGAAATTATCTGTGTTTATCCCTGTTCTTGGTTCTTTGAGATATGTGTTTAGAATTGAATTTCTATGTTCATGTGGATATTCTGAGAACACATCAAGTTGTTTATAGTCTCATCAGAGATACACATAGATTACAAATTCCCTACATTCATGATAATACTTGGTTTTTTTTTATTTTGTTCTTTTTTTGATTGTAGCTATCCTAACAACTATGAATTAGTCTCTCAGTAGAGCCAGGTGCAATTTTTAATGGGAATTTAAAAAAATATTCTTCTCTCATTTATTACATCCACTGTAGTTTCCCCTTCCTCTCCTCCCACTAATCCTTCCCCCCATTTCTCCCACTCTTCCTCAGTCCTAACCCCCAACCTCTACTCAGACAAAAGCAGGCCTCCCAGAGACATTAACCAAACATGTTATAACAAAAATAAAATAAGGCAGATACATACCTTCATATCAAAGCTGGATAAGGCAACCCAGTAGGAGGAATAGGAATAGGCCCTGTCCCAGCTCCCACTCTTAGGAATTTCACAAGAATACCAAGCTTCTCAGCCATAACACATATGCAGAGTACCTAAGTCAGACCCCTGAGGCTCCCTGATCCCTGTAAGCACCCATGAGTCCTGGTCAGTTGATTCTCTGGGCCTTGTTCTTGTGGTGTCCCTGACCCCTCCAGTTCCTCCCATTCTTCTTTCCCCCCCCCCTGCAGGACTCCCAGGGCTCTGCCTAATGTTTAGAACTTGACTTCTGCTCCCACCAGCAGCTGGATGAAGTCTTTCTGATGACAATTCTGCTAGACTCTGGTCCCAGAACACTCTGCAGACGGAACAAATTGTAGGTTGGAAGTTTTGTGACTGGGTTGGTGCCCAAATCCCTCTACTAGAGGCCTTGTCTGGTTATGGAAGATGCCAATCCAGGTTCTGTGTCCCCTATTGCTAGGAATCTTTGCTGGGGTTACTCAATAGAGTTTCTATTGCACCAGGTTTCGACCTCATCTCGGAAATCCACTCCAATTCCAGTCATTTCTCCTGGTATCCCCTCTTTAGTCCTTCTTTTCTCAACCTCATCTATTCCCAGCCCACCCATGAAATTATTCTATTTCCCCTTCCCAAGGAGATCCTTGTATCCTATCTTTAAATCCTCCTTGTTACTTGGCCTCTCTGGCTCTGTGGGTCTTAGTATGAATATCTTTTATTTTAAAATAATAGCCACTTATAAATGAGTAAATGTTATGTTTGTCTTTCTGTATTGGGTTACCTCACTTAGGCTGATTTTTTTCTATTTCCATACATTTGCCTGCAAATTTCATTGTTTTTAACAGCTGAGTAATACTCCATTGTGTAAAAGCACAACATTTTCTTTATACATTCTTTGGTTGAGGGTCATCTACGTTCTTTCTAGTTTCTGACTATTATTAATAAAGCTGCTATGAATATAGTTTAGCAAGTGTCCTTGTGGGAGGATGGGGCATCCTTTGGCTATATTCCCAGGGTGGTATAGATGGGCTTTGAAGAAAATAGATTCCCAATTTTCTGAGAAACCACCATTTTTCAAAGTGACTGTACATATTTGTACCAGCAGAGGAGGTGTGTTCCCCTTGATCCACATCCATGCCAGTATGAGATGTCACTTGTGGTTTTGAGCTTATCTATTTTGGCAGGTGTAAAATGAAATATCAAGGTTGTTTTGATCATTGATCCACTTGGACTTGAGTTTCATGCAGGATGGTAGATATGGAGCTATATACTGGCGTCCAGTTACGTCAGCACCTTTCATTGGAGATGCTTTTTTCCCATTGTATATTTCTAGCCTCTTTATCAAATATCAAGGGTTCGTAGGTGTGTAGATTTATATGTGGGTCTTCAATTTGATTACATTGATCATTGTGTCTGTATTTATGACAATACAATGTGGTTTTTATTATTACATCTCCAGCTTGAAATCAGGGATGGTGATACCTCCAAAAGTTCTTCTATTGTATACATACAAGACATTCTTAAGTAGTTTTTGTGTCAGAAATTCAGAACAATTCAAGGAAGTCATTGAAGATTCTCTCTGACAATGAGAAGGTTCTTATCTAATACTTAACACCCTTCTTCAGTGAGACTCAGTCTTGGTTACAAACCAGAATCACTTGGGAGGTTCAAAAGTTCTGACATCAAACTGCATACAAGACCAATTAACTCAGCTTTCTGGATGGAGTCACACAAACAGGAATTTAAAAATATTTCTGTATGTAGTATGTATGTATGTATGTTTATATATAAGCATGTGTGTGTCTTTTTATAAGCGCACACACACACACACACACACACACACACACACCTAGGAAATGCTGGTCCTGATGGTGTTGTCTATGACTAGAGGAGAAAAATAGGTGGATTCCTTTAGTTCTCTGACCATCAGTCTAGCCAAAATGACAAACTCCAAGTTAGTATTAGATTCTGTTTCAAAAACAAACTAAGACTCACAAGTGTCCCTGCTCAGAAAGGTGAGTCCTAAGAACGGAACCTCGAAGCAGGAAGTGGGTCTGTGAGGACGTGTTCAGAGGAAGCCACTTTCTCGGGAAAAAATATTAAAAACAAAAAAATAAACAAATAGCAGGGGAAAACAAACTCTGACCTCCATATATGTGGAGAGTACACCTCCACACACTTTTCCAAACACAAAGATGGCAGCCTTCTAACTCCCACAGATGGTCCTGCTCTCCCTACCCTTTTCGGAGCTAACATTACATATTTTCTGATGTATCTCTTTACTTTATGCTCTATTTTTTTGTAGACATACTAAGCTTATCCTGGAGTTGAATGAATGAATGTGTTAATCTACTACTTTTATTTCAAATGGCATATACCTTTTGATAGTTAAAAAAATACCTTTAGAAAAATCTTATCCCTAGATCTTCTCTTGTATAGGTAAAAGCTCCTATATACTTTCAAAGAAATACAGTGAAGACTATGCCTCCCTTTGTGGAATACGACATGCCTGCCACTCGGTCATCAAGCTAGCCAGTACTTACTAAGCATCTCCTATGCTCACTCTCCACAGCCATTGTAGACTAGACAATTCACTGGCACTGTGAATCACAGTGAGAATACAACCAAAGTCGATCTGTGAGGGTGACGTACAAAATAATCTTAACAGATATTTCAAGTAGTCAACACCTTGAAGATGAGAAATGTGTGTTGGCTACTGGACATGGCCTAAGGGTTGAACTTAATCAGACAAGAATGACAACAAGCACATTTTATAAAGAATGGGCATCAGCGCTGGAGAGATGGCACAGTGGCTCAGAGCACAGTTGCTGTTCCAGGGGACCCAGGTTTGATTCCCAGCACCTACACAATAGCTCATAAACCATTGATAACTTCAGTTCCAAGGGATCTCACATCCTCTTTTGACCTCTGTGGGCACACATGTGATGCATATATATACATGCAGGCAAAGTACTCATACACATAAACTAAGTAAGTTTTTTTTTAATTATAGAGAAGAATGAGCATAAAATACAAAGCCCTGAGGAGGAAGATGATTCAGAGGTCCTGAGTCTTTAAGTTAGAGCCTCAAAAGAACACACAGAAAACAAACCATTATCACCTTCTTTGTTAGGCATTTACCTCAATCAATAAGGCTTAAGTTAAAGTTAGTTTTTGGTGAGCAAATTACTGTATTTTTATTGGATTAGATCTTCCCTCTCCAGTGTTTGAAGGCTGGAACTTAAGTGCAGAAGGGTGATTTAGGTAAACAATCCTTTTGGTGTGAACTCTAGCCCTAAGCATTTCAGTCAATGTAAGGAAAGACATTGTGAAGTGAAGGGTCTTATACGGTCTCCCACTGGCTAAGGATCATTTCTAAGGATCATTGGCAGACTTTCTTCTGGACTTGCTGGGAAGGAAGAAGTTGTGAACAGGGTCAAATTTAGAACTGAGCCAAATCTGGATATTAGGGGTCAATGCTCGTTTTAATTTCTCAGTCAAAGAAGTGCAGTATAGACAGGAGATTCTTGGTTCTTGGGACCTTGTGTTCTGTGTGTTGTCTTGAAGTGAAAAATGTCCTCTCACAAACCAGACACTCAACTATTTCAATGATTTTGACTTTCTTCCTCCCGTTTTCTGTACTGACATGGACAGTTCGTGTCCAGCAGTTAGTTTTAAACCATTTTCAAACTTTTGTTTGTTTTGTTTTATGAGACAGTGTACAAGTCTGTAGCCTTGACTGTCCTGGAACTCATTCTGTATGCCAGGCTGGCCTTGAAGTCACAGAGATCCACCTCCCTCTTTCTCCTGAGTGCTGGCGTTAAAGGTGTGTGCCACCACTCTCTGGCTCAAACTTCTTAAAAAGAGCTGTTTGTGACATTAGGTACATGATTGTTTCTTATAGTTTCTGAACAACCAGAAAATATTTTACTTTCATTGAGAATCAGCACTCACTTCAAGTTAATAAAGCAAAATTCTGAGCTTATGCTTGCAAGAGAGAATTTGTAGAGTCTAATCAGGTGCTGAAATTGGCAAGAACATGGATTTGAAGTGTTAACATGACGTAAGGTGACAGCGAAGCAACACAGTCATGAAGGAGAAGATGACATTGAGCTTCTTGTTCCATACGCTTCCTAGAACCTGAGGTCATTTGTGAATTATCACAAGAACACCTTTCGAGTATGGCTGTCCCTTCCCAGACAGCCCACCTAGAAACCACAGTTTTTATTCAAGCCGCACTGAAACTCAGAGTAGCCCTTGCATTCATGCAGCCCTTGCATTCATGCAGCCCTTGCATTCATGCAGCCCTTGGATTCAGTTCCTATCATTCCTTGATCAGCCATCATCTCCTCCATCTGATAAGTGAGGATGATACATTGAATGCACATCAGTGAGTAAAACAACCAGGGTCCTTGTGTTATGGTGCTTGCACTGTAGATGAGACAGGCGTGCAAAACAAATCAACCAAGTGCATATCTGAGTATTATACAAGGTGAAGCTCTGAAGGAAAGAATGAAACAAAAGAGCACCATGCAGTCAAGGCTGGAGATTCACCTCCTCAGACCTCCGCTCATATTCTCCAGGCATCCAGGAAAGTCCAACAAGTCTTTGGCAAGTTTAGCTGTTACTACTGCTGATTGACGGTGAAGTGAACTTCCTGGAGATTGAATGGAAGCAAATGAATTCCTTTCCGGTGTCTTTGAGGCTCCCTCACATCTTTGTGTTTTGTTTTCACATGCCCTCCAGTTCCAACGAGGGTTTCGGGTCCGTGGAGAAGGTCGTGCTGCTCACATTCCTCTCGGTGGTTATCCTGATGGCCATCCTGGGCAACCTGCTGGTGATGGTGGCTGTGTGCAGGGACAGGCAGCTCAGGTGAGCACGACAAGGGAACCTCTTTGGAAACACGGGTGTCAGAGGGATCACCCTGGAAAATTGGCTCTGAATAATTTCCGTTTTAATTTGTCACGTTCATGAGAACAAGTTTTGAAAGATAGGAAAGGGATCATACATAATCCTACAACCCCAACACTAACATAACCATCAGAGCACCTTTAGCTAATTCCATCCTGTTTATCTATACTGTGTTGCATTTGTTTAAATAGTTGTGGTCAACTATTTAAACACATACACATACACATACATACATACACACCCTTCTGATACCAATGATTCAGGGTAGAATGAATAACTAATGGTCAATCTAGGGAATAAACATTGTGTCTATCACATTTTGTACATTATCAGTGTCAACTGTGGTTCCATTTATAATCACCTGAGATATTTTTCAAAATACTACTGTATGATATTGGTATGTCCTGTGCAATATTGTGGAGATATTTAGGTTTATTTCATTAACAGTAATTCACTGTTAAAAGTCAAACGGCCATCCTGTATCTTATGTAGCAATCTTCAGTGGAGGAAGATGTTATCCACAAGACTTTTTGTCTAATTGATCTAGGTTGAACCCTGGGCACTGACATTTGCTAAAATTCACCAAATATTTCTAGTGTGTGGCCTGATATGAGGAGCATTGGGCCGTGAAGGAAGAGATGAGCTAAAGGTAGCTACTTTCTAAGCAGGGCCTGCCCTGAACCAGTGAAGAGGGGGAGAAAAGGCAATGCAGAGTTTTGCCTGGGGTCACACATGAAGGGGGTACACAAGAGGTCACCCTAGTAGCTGCAAGTAGTACACTTGACACTGTCTGCGAGAACAGCATCTCGAGAGGGCTCTGTGGGAGCGCCTAAGCCTGGGCCAGAGCTAGGGTAGGCGGTTGATTAGAAGAGCAGCGGGGGAAGAGTGCGATTGTGTGGAGCCTCAGAACCCTTCTCAATACACTGGTGGCCTCTGGTCAGGCCAAAAAAGAGAGGGAAAGGGGTCTTTGGGTTTGAAATGGGTCTGGAGAAGTCAGAAGAGGCTGAACCACAGAATGTCTTTTGGGCCGTGGTGCAGAAGGGAAAACTGAGTCTTGGGAATTATGTTTAATGTGTGACTTTTCTTTCCTTGTCCCTTCTTTCCTTCCTTCCACTTCCCCCAACTCTTCTCTTACTCTTTCTTCCCACTTTCTTCTCCAAATCCTCCCCTGCCACCTTGCTTATACCTTTTCACTCACAGGAAAATAAAAACCAATTATTTCATTGTGTCTCTTGCCTTTGCCGATCTGCTGGTATCGGTGCTGGTGATGCCTTTTGGTGCCATTGAGCTGGTCCAAGACGTCTGGATTTATGGGGAGATGTTTTGCCTGGTCCGGACCTCTCTGGATGTCCTGCTCACCACGGCATCGATTTTTCACCTGTGCTGCATTTCACTGGATAGGTAAGAGCAGAGCAATGTGCAGAATGGAACCCAGTTGACACCAGTGACCTAGCAGATACTAGCCAGTGCCTTTCCTTCCTAACCCATCTCACGAAATTAGTCCCAGAGACAGAGGTGGAAGGTCGGCAATCCTCGCACCAGGGCAGTCCTTGTGGAGGACTTCTTCCCAGTCAGGCACTCTTAGGGATGTTGACGATCCAAAGGTTGCATGGTCAGGCAATTGCTTATAGACAAGTATCCTTATCCATATTCACTTCTAGCTTTATATTATTGACAGGAATGAAATTCTAAGGGAGATAGGTAGTAAGATTTAAGTGTCTCTGCCCAGGAGGGTATGGGCCAGTTCAGAGTGATGTCACTGTGTTTGAGCATGACTGTCTCCTAAAATATGCCCACATGATAACTAAAGTCTAGGAAAGTGCCTGTGATCATAGGGATTTTTTTCCTAGAAAGTGAAAGTTGATAAAAAATTTCTAGTAATTACTGTTTTAGAAATTCAGCTTATCATATCTATCCCAATGTTAACTGTGGGCTCCTGTTGTTCTGTTCTTTGTTTGTTTGTTTGTTTAGACTTTAGGTTGCCTAATGGTTCCAACCTTTGCCCCATTTGTTGGGAATGTATGTTTATCAGCCCTTTCCAGTCTCCAATTTCCGGTCATTCTCATGGACTAACAAATGAAAGAATATTCTTTTTTTTAAGTAATTTTATTAAATTATAAAAAGATATTCTTTAAAAGTCAGTCAACTCTGAGAGTGTATGGGGCTTAGGAGCAAGAACAGAAGAAAATGCTGGGTGACGGTTTCGTGAGCTTAGGTTGTCGGGGGCAGCATCTCACTTCCTCTCCTGCTTCCCTTGGACCTATTGCCCTGGCTTGGGAGAGATGCCTTTCTTAAATCGAGAACTTAGAAAAATAGTCAGCCAAAGTTAAAGAATGTTATATATCTTAAATATTCACCTTTAAAGAATAAAGTAATGGTTTCTCAGGAAATTACTCATCGGGGGCAGGCCCTGAAGAGCTGCAGTGTAATGTGGTAACAACAGCTTCACTCCTTCCCTATGAGAGCACCAATTGGAAGGCAGGTGCGACAGCGACAGCCTCCTCTGTCTCTTCCTCCTCCCCCTCTTCTTTTTCTTTCTTTCTTTTTCAAGACAGGATTTTTCTGTGTAACAACCCTGACTGTCTTGGAACTTCCAGTGTAGACCAGGCTGGCCTTGAACTCATGGAGATCCACTTGCCTCAACCTCCCAAGTGTTGGGATTAAAGGCTTGTGCCACTGCCACCTGCATAGCCAACCTCCTCTGTTTACATCACTTTCTTTATTCTGACAAGAGCACAAAGTCGAACTGCCTAGATTCTGTGCAGGTATAATGAGACTCCACTGCATAGATAGGTGCCAACAGCAAGACCCATCATGAGTCCTAATCAGAAATTTGTGTGTCTTAGCTTGTTTATAATTGGACACCAGTGTGTGAAGAGCATTGAAAAGACATTTTCTGCTACATGAAATTTCACATTACAGAAAAGAAAATATGTGGAAGGAGAAAATGCACGGAAATCCTAGAGGGTAGCCTGTATATCTTCATTGCTACAATGATCTGTGAGACTTGACATAATATAGGAACTTAGAAAAAAACAAAAAAAGCAAGGCTGGAAATCAGTGAGATTTTGGCAAAAGTCAGGGGAAGAAAATGAGCCATGCAGGAAATAAAAATGGGAGAAAATTCATCTTTCTGCTGTAGAGAGCAGAGAGCCCCAAGACAAGAGCTGAAGTTCTTCCATGGGGTTTGGCTTCAGATTTACAGATTTAAGCTTATACTCCCTCATGAACACTTCTTCATGAAAGCTCACATTGTAGGAAAACAGTCAAGAATTGGACATTAAAAGCCATCTGTTTTCAAATTTGAGGGATTTAACCTTAAATTTCAGCTCTGTCAGATTTTGCCTCTGCAATTTGGCAGGGAATTAATAAGCCTTTCTGAGTCTCAGTTTTGTCCCCCCCCCCCCAAAAAAAAGGAGGCTAAAGAACTGATGTTTCAGGACTGCAACAAGGAAGAAACAAGCTAGGCTGCCTGAGGGGGGACATTGTCCACTGTGACTCAGTACTGTGATGAGTAGAAGGTTCTACCGAGCTAATCATGGTCTGTCTTAGCAAGGTTTGACTTCCCTTACAACACCAGAGCATCCTCTGTTTGTTCTCCTCACATCGGTTTATCATCTACTCTCACAAGATCAAACAAATGCCAGCCTCCCAGACGGCAACTCTGAGCATTACTGCTTTTCTGGGACTTTTCAACAGTTACCCACCGTCTCCCTACACCCTCCCATGTCCTGCTGTCACCTCCCCTGCCACACCCTGCTGAGTTCATTAGTGTCACTCACATGTGTGTGTATGTGGTTAAGGCTGAAGACTTGGCAATGGATAACCTCGTCTCTGGAGAAGACAGATTCCCCTTCTCTTGGTAGTCACTATCTGCCTGCAACTCTTCTTTTGAGGGTGGAGCCCTGAGATGTCTCCATCCGTATTGGTGCAATCATTACGCAGGTCCTCTTCAGTCAATGAGATTGAGATTTCATGGGTGTAGTAGCTGCCCTGTCCTATATAAAAACCACTATCTTGGAGCCGATGTCCTGGTAGTCCGGCTCTTATAGTCTCTCCACCTCTTCTTCTACAATGTTTCCTGAGCCTTAAGTGTAGAGGTTACATTTTACATATACCAATTGGAGTTGCATCTCAGTGACCTGTTACATCTTAATCAATTGTTGATTTCTTAAATGTCCCCACCTGTTACAAAATGAAGCTTCTCTGATGAAGGAATATCTTCATTTATCTGTGGATATAAGGGTAGGTATTTAGAATGTGGTTAGAGATTTTACAGGCTTTAGGAAGGTCATGGTAGTAGGTTCTCTTTTAGAGTTCAATACTTGACCAGTCATGGGTAGTTGAGTAGGTTTAATATACCAGCAAGGATTCTCTCATCGAGTGGGCTGTAGGTCCAAATTAGATGGCTGTTGTTTACCCCCGAGATGTGTCAGTCTTGGATCTTTGACCTTTGTGGTGGCACTTAGGAGTAGGAGTGTTGCTCTGCCTTGGCAGGTGCATAGGAAACATCTGTGGCATATCCATGTTGATCCCTGGTGTTTGAAGTGTGCAGTGTTTTCAGCAACAGGGTTTTACCTTCAAGTTCTTGGAGGAAATGACAGGCAATGGCCATAACCTGTGTTGTTTTTGGTAGCCTCTTGACTACCCTGACCAACAACTTGAAGGAAAGTTTCCCATGCCCATCACTTGAGTTTGTTAGCTATCTATAGCTCTTGGGGAGAGCATTATTACTACAAATGGCATAACTTCATTTAAATGAACTTGTATTACACGTGATTTTGAGTAAGCATAAAATGATATTTCCCTATAGCTTTTTCAAATATTTTTCATTATTTATTGCTCCCTTCTCTACAATTAAAATTTCCCCTGATTTTTCCTATTCCCCCCCCTCATTGGACCTGCATCCCTCTGTGTAAAATATTTTCATCAAACCTTTAAGAATTTCATATCATGCATTATTGGAGGATGAGAGCCCGCTTGTTCATCCTGGCTGCTCGGCTAGCTTAGCCCTGAAATAACCATACAGAAATTGTATTAATTAAATCACTGCTTGACCCACTAGCTCTAGCCTCTTATTGGCTAACTCTCACGTCTTGATTTAATCCATTTCTATTAATCTGTATGTCACCACGTGGCAGTGGCTTACGGGGAAATAGTCTAACCAGCATCCATCTCAAGTGAATCCATGGTATCTTTCTTATTCTGCTTTTTTCCTCCTAGCATTCAGATCTGTCCTCTCCACTTACCTAAGTTCTGCCCTATCAACTAGGCCAAGGCAGTTTCTTTATTCAAAAACCAATGGAAGCAACACATAAACAGAAGGACCTCCTACACCAATGCATTTTGATTTTATTCACCCAACTCTTCCTCCTAGCTCCTTTTAGATCTACTCTACCTCCCAAATGTATGTCCCCTTTTAAAGTAGCCGATCACCTCCAATTGTGCCGCTCAGTTACCTCTAAGTGTGGGGGCCAAGCACTTAGAGAAAACTGACTCCCCTACCTGAAAAGATATCAACTGTTCATAGCTCCTCAGGTAAGTGTGAAGGCTCACCTTCTTTCCCCTCAGTGCTAGAATGTTGACTGGCTTGTTGTTGTGCACATCCTATACAGGCAGACAAAACTGTCTGCTTCCTCTTTGCTTCAGTGTCTGAGCCCTCGTGTGTGTGTGTGTGTGTGTGTGTGTGTGTGCAATCTAGATGTTTCATTTATGGCTGAGAACCCCACTGATACTTAGTCTCTGCACATAGACCAATTATGAGTTTGTGTGTTAATCACCATCCACTGCACAAAGAAACTTTTCCGATGAAGTCTGAGAGAGGCAATGATTGATGAGTATAGACAGTTTTAACTATTTTCTGTCTCTATACCAAGTTTCCCTTCAGACCCTTCCCTAGCCCTGTTTCTTGGCTCTGACTCCCTTGATCTTTTCTTTCTCCTGTTGCTTTCCCGGCATTGGCTCCTCTCTGTCCCTGGAAAGCTCCTTTGCCCGCTATGTGACTTTCGGGTTTTAGCTCCGTCATATACCCCTGCTGCAGAAGGGCATCGCTATTCTCCTCAGGCACATTCCTTGTAGAACTCATTGCATTTTTTTATTAAATGCAGTTTTGTAATTTCCCCCACAAAGTCCTTTTTACTCCTATGTGGGAGGAAGCTCTGCATTATGAACAAGGCCAAGAGGATGTTTGAATTTATGGAATTTGCATTTAATGATAATTTTGGTAATTAAACAACAGTAGCTACATATAAATATTTATATAGGTATTTGGCACATTTTCATTTTCTCCCCCTAGTAGACATCAGAAACTTGAACACCACAAAGAAGATGGGACTAGACAGCATTTGTCTTGTTTTGCTTTTCTTTATCTTCAGCATGATCCTATCCCAGGTGATGCCCTA